GTATATTTTAGTCTTTGCGATTTTAGGCAGCAGACGAAATGACAAAAGGTTCTGACCTTGAGTGGTGGAAAGCATTACCAGAATTTAATCTACGCCTAATTTCTTTATGATAGCTCAGTCAGTATAGTGACCATCTGCGGGATGAGGCGACCGTGGTTCGATCCCCGGCGGGGGCAGAGGATTTTCTTCAAGCCTCTGCGTCCAACCTCCTGTCCAATGAGTACCGGGGTCGTTTCCCGGGGGTAAAGCGCGGCCGGGGCGTGATGCTGACCACTCACCCCCATCTGGTGCCGAGGTCTAGAAAGAATAGGAGCTATACCTCCGCCCCCCTCGGGGGCCTACATAGGCGTGTAGCGGGACGCTTTACTTTAGTTAATTTCTTTATGAATCAAATTTTGATATGTAACGGTCGCTCCCAAACATTTGAACTTCGCCACATTTTCAAGGGGTCTATTAACTAATCTCTATTTTACGATTTCGCCGTGCCTTTTCATAACGAGATATCAACATATACTTTCGTGGATAATCGACGGAGGATGGTCCTCCATCTTGGGGGTTGGGCGTGGGTCTGACATCCCGTCACCGTAAAAATAATCACTCGTAACGAAATTTTACACAAGGCTTCGGACTGGGACGGATTCTTTGGAAGAGCCTAAGCGAAGGAAGGTCCGCTACCGTACTGCAAAAACCGCGGCAGGATCGCTGGATATCAGGGTTTCAGTTGAATTGGTACACTCCTAAGGTCCGGCAGGGACACTTTCAAGCGTACGCGAACAGGAGTAATATGTTTGGCTGTCATACTGAACACTCTACGAGTTTCCGTTACATAATCAACAATATTGAATAACTCAGAAATAACCAATCATGTCCACAATGAAGATAATATAAGGTCGAAAAAAGCGAAATTGGTTTAGAATGAAAGTTACCAAAAAAATGTGGGAAAAGAAATTAAATACCCGCTTCCTCCGCCCTTCTAGCCTCGCCAATGCAGCACAAACAATGCTGTGGTAATGTGAAAGGTTGTAATGACGAATACTTTTTGTTCATTAACAAAAGGTTACCGAACTGCGTATGCTTTACAAACATCAATTAATTATATATTGTTCTTCAAATATCGCAATCCACACATTATGGTGCCCGTTTCCGGTTGGTTCCACACGGAAACTTTGACCATTGTGTTGAATAATATACAAGTACAGGTAGGACTCGGTTTACGCCGCTTCAGTTTACGTTCCCTTCACTTTTGCTCCTCATAGATCACGATTGGAGGGGGGGGGTGATGAGTCATGACTCTGCCCGAATTCCTAGACACATATGGTCCCGACATTGTAATAAAACTTACGTTGTAATAAAACTATAATACTAAATGATAAAACTATAAAATTTAAATAATTAAACCAAAAACGGAATATAAAATGTGACGACATAAATGAGCTCCTTGAGGGTCATGGTGAAGAGCTTTCAACGGAAGATTAAGAAGAGCTAGCTGAACAACTGTCCAAAGAAGACACAGAGGAAAGTGAAGCTGACTCTGCAATGCCGGTTAGGACACTAACACTGAAATCACTGCAAGAGGCTCATATTAATAAGGGATGTGAGATCTTGTGTAGCAACGGCCCAAACAGGGAGTGGAGCTCAACCGTTAAGAGAAGAATTGAGACAGTTCTACAGCCATACTATAACTTATTATCAGAAAAGACGAAAACCAAACAGACATCTATTCTATCGTTTTTAAAGCAGTAAATTTTCTTCCTTTCTCTTAAACATTATACAATTTTCAATACGTAAATTTCATAAAATAAAACATTTTTCAAGTATTTTGTATTGATTACTTAAAATCATGGAACGGAACCTAATGTATTTACGTATGTTCCCATTATATTTTTGCTTCAATTTACGCCGCTTCATTTTACGCCGGAAATCTCAGGAACCTAACCCCGGCGTAAACCAAGTACCACCTGTACACAGTTTAAATTAGTGCGTTGTGCATGTGATTGAAAAAGAAGAAAAAAGAACGGAATCGAGCTTGCGTACGATCTTCGCATCGACGGAAGTCTGCCACGCTAGCGAGCGACGGTTCTCTAACGTGATCCGACGTCGGAGCGCAGTATAGTGTTCATGTTCGGTTTGCTGTTGAACCGGCCGACATGGCTTGGGAAAGACATATACATAAATTACGCTCTTTCAAATCAGGCAAACACGTTGGTGTCTTTGCTGAAAAGAACATTGCTATAAATAGTGGCTATTAAATGTATAGAAAAGCGATACGGACAGATACAAGGAGATTAACGTGAATCAAGATACGACGCCAGCTGTACTGCTGATGAGCAACAGGCTCTCATTCAGTTCAGAAGTCGCGTGATACAATCGTCAGCAGCCGAACTGCGGTGTTGCAAGTTCGCACCCGTTCCGTGCGTAGTGCTGTAATCTTGTTTTGTTATGGGGAAGAAACTCTTAGCCAAGCTCAGTATTCAAACGAAAACAACAAAGCAGTTTGCATTCTCTGGAAACCATCGTTTCATATTGCTACATTTAGCACCACTGTATGTTCTGTTTCCTTGCTTTCTCCCCGACTCAACCCTTTCTTTATTTCGTTAGATACCACAGTACTCGTCTATTTGAGCGGAGAGTTGACTAGACTATGAAGGTATGACGTCATGCTTAATGATTTCTAAAAACACTGCTTCTTACAAAAAATGTCCCCACTGTTTGAATAATCTGCATGATGTTTAATACTATGAAAGTATTACCAGTGAACTGACTTTTGTACTAAATTATGTGTAAACTGTGAAATACAAAAATGCGAGCGGCCCGGAACGGTAGCAGCGGAAGTCTTGGCCACGCCATGCTGACAATTGAGACAATGGTGTGAGTCATGAACCTTCTGTTTGTGTTTTAAGTTCTCGTTTCAGTGACAAAATGTATATTTTTATTAAAGTGTTGACAGCTTTAGGTAAAATGGATGTTTCAGCTACTAAAGTCACTACCAGTTTCCTAGAATTGTGAAATCACCCACAAACCAAGTTGTTTGCTCGCAGCTAAAACTATAACATAAACTGTTTTGGTTTGATTTCAGGGTAACAGTTTTGAAGGACTTTTACTGTCTTTTTTAAATTGATTTTTATATTCAACCTCAGAAGTAAGCAACTTGTTTGTTTTAAGAACACTTTTCCATCATAAACCCCCTTTGAGTGGTTGGGACTGTAATTACAGTACTGTATCAGTAACACTTTTTTGTCTAGTCGTGTTTAATAGTCTGTACTGGTTTTTCTGTATTTTCATCACAGTGTTGAAATTGCCAATTCTAAATCAAAAGTGTAGTGAATTGGGGGTGGGGGGGAAGGCACACAATATAACACTGCATGTTTTCTTTTATTGTCTCAGGTTTTAATTTGAGATTGTTGACTCTTGATACTCTTTTACAAGCCTTAGTAGCATAAAACATGGGGAAGATGAGTAAGAACCTCAAATATCCAATTTAATCAGTATCCATTGATTCTTGAGTTAATAAATGACAACATAAAAATCCTTTTCACTTATCTCAAAAATCATAATACTTGCATAATTGTGTATATTGGGCATAAAGTGTGTGTTTCGTCCCTCTTTTCAAGTTTTGTTTGAAACATTTTTCATTCAGGTATATATTTAGTGAATTATGCATGAGATGTGAGCAGAAAAAAGTGTAGGTTTTCATATAAAATGTCCAATTTCAACTAAGATGGGAGTATGTCAACAAATTATAATAAGACTCCTTAGTGTCAAACTTCATGAGCTTTCTGAAGTTGTTTCATGCAGATGGACATAGTGAAGCTAACATGCATCTTTTACATATTTTCTAGTGATCATGTCAGAATTAGTGATATGCATAGCAGTGTCATGTTCTAACACAGAAATTTTGAATTTATAGTGGTATGTATAGGTTTGTAGTGAATTGTGGTTTTCTGAAGCAGAAGGTTTTGGCTGGGAAGTTTACCATGTACACTAATTTGAAAGAACAGATTCATTGAGAAGCTAATAGTCCCTTAGGTAGTCAAGAGATTCCCTGCATTTTGTGGGACTCTTAGTGCTCAATACTATGTCTGCAAGAGGCAACCTCTGGTTCCTCTTTATAACCAGATGTACCCAGTTATACTCCCCCATGCTATTTTCTTCATATCTTCCCTCTCCTACATTCAATTATAAATTCCATTGCTGACAAAGATAATCATCAGGTAAATTATTGTGTTATGTTGGAGCATAAAATATTTTTCCTCGTTTTTGGCCGAATATGCACCTCATCAGAATGTTTGGAATAGGTGTTATAGGTCTTGCTGAGGGCTGCATTTTGTTTTATGTACCAGTTTTTATGTGAGCCGGGTAACTCAGTCAGTGTAGTGACTGGCTTTGGCTGGACGATTGGGGTTCAATCCCTGACAAAGGCAGAGGATTTTCCCTGTCCCCACCAAAAACACTGCTTGCTATTTTCTTGTTTTTGTCATAGTAACTGGAGAAACTTTTCCAACTTTGCATGGTTGGTTATTGTGCTGGAATATTGAGTGACGAAAAAACAGAAAAAAGATCATTATGTAATTTTAATCCATACAAAATATGAATTACTAGCAATATTTAACATGTTTTAGTGTTCTTCTATGAAAAGAGAAAGCATATTGAGCAGACATGTTTGTTTGTGTGAAAGATATGTTGCATACATCTCTAGATCAAGCCTGCTCAACTTGAAGGTACATGTGGGCCAAAATGTAAACTTCAGAAGTGCTTCAGGCTGCAGTCTTGTATTTCATATATATGATAATTACATTAATTAAAAGTATGTGAACATTATGCATTAATTATGTGTAAATAAATACATTTATGTATTATATTAGTATTCAATGTATATTCTGTAAGAATTAAAATTTAAAAATAATGAAAAATGTAAGGAAAAAAAGTGCAATTTTCTGCACTTATTTAAAAATTATGTCAGGATTTATTTACATGATTATTTTTGAAAGCTAATTTTTCAGGGGCCCATGCACAATTGAGCCAATCACCCCTGGGCCAGACAACATCTTTCTGGAGGCTGCATGTTGTGCAGGCCTGCTGCATATGGTAGGTTGATCACAGAAACTTGGTAACAGTTTTGATGTCACACATTTAATAGTATTGCCGTTGATGGCTCTCTTCTGGTTTATAACACCGTGTAGTATGGTAGAAGTTTAACTTTACCAAACTACACATTGCTGCAACCAAGAAGACCACCATCTTTTTACTCATCACTGTGAGAATCTAAAATCCTACTAAGTAATATTGTTATTATACTAGTCATTTCTCAGAACAATTGAAAATTATACATCTGCAATAAAAGATATAACGTGTTCTATATCCTGTAACTGTATCAGAATTTCAACCAAACAGAAACTAGGATACTATAGGAGAAAGCAAAATAAACCATAGCTTGATGAAGAATGTTCAAATTAATAGATCGAAGGAAGCAAACAAACAAAATTTCAATGGTTGCAGGACCCAAACAAAACGAATATGAATAATCTATGTAATGTGAGACATGAAGCTAGTGGAGCCTTTAGGAATAAGAAAACAATATCTGAAAAGCAAAATTATTGGGCTTGAAACAAATACTAAGGGCAAAAATATCAGAGATCTGTACAGAGGCATAAATGATTTTAAGAAAGGATATCAACCTCAGACTAATTTGGTAAAGGATCATAATGGCAATTTACTTGCAGATCCAATCAAAATTGTGAATAGGTGGAACAATTTCCTTAATCAGCTCTTAAATGTTCATGGGACCGATGATGTTAGATTAAAATACATATGGCTGAACTGTTAGTGTCAAAACGTAGTTTACATGAAGTTGGACTAACCATTGGAAAGTTGAAAAGTTATAAATTTTCAAGGTATTGATCAAATTCCATCAGAATTAATTAAAGCAAGTGACAAAAAGTTACATATGGAGATCCATATACTTAATCAATTTATTTGGAATAAGGAAGAGATACCACAATAAAGGAAGAAATCCATAATTATTCCTGTTTGTAAGAAGGAGGACAAGACAGCATAGTAATTACCAAGGAATTTCTCTACTATCATCCTCATACAAAATTCAATCAACAATTGATCAGATCTGCATCCATCAGTTACTAGAGAAAAATGGGAGTACGGTGGGATCATACATCAATTTTTTATAGATTTCAATCAAAAAGGTCTGACTCTGTTGAGAGAGAAGTGTTATACAATATTTTCATTGAATTTGGTGTATCAAAGAAGATAGTGAGTGTAACAAAAAATGTGCTTAAATCAAACCTGTAGCAAAATTTGTATATGTAAATATTTATCTGATTCATCTTCCATCAAGAATGGTCTGAAACAAGGAGATGCTTTGTCTCCATTGCTCTTTAACTTTACATTAGAATATGCTGTCAGGAAAGTCCAAGATAGGCAGGAGGGTTTGCAATTGAATGGGACACATCAGCTATTGGCATATGCTGATGATGTTAATTTATTGGGTGACAATATAAATACAATGAGGACAAACAGAAGTTTTACAAGAAGCTAGTAGAAAGGCGGGACTAGAAGTAAATTCAGAAACAACTATGTACATGTTAGTATCCTGTCAATGGACAGGCAGGCAAACTCATATTAGGGTGGCTAATAAATCCTTTGAAAGTGTGACAAAGTTCAAATATTTGGGACAAGCAATAACAAACCAAAATGATATTCAGGAGGAAAGTAAATTCCAGAAATGCTCGCTATTTCTCAGTTCAAAATATTTTGTCTTCCCATCTGGTTTCTAAGAACCTGAAGATTAAAATATGCAAAACAATAATTCTGCATGTTGTTTTGTGTGGGTGCGAAACATGGTCTCTCACTCAGAGGGAGGAACACAGATTGCAGGTGTTTGAGAATAGGGTGTTGAGAAGGATATTTGGGCCTAGGAGAGAAGAGGATGGGGGGTGGAGAAAACTGCATAATGATGAGCTTAAAAATTTGTTTTCCTCCCCTATTATTGTCAGGGTGATTCAGTCAAGAAGAATGAGATGGGCAGGGCATGTGGCATGCATGTAGAGTGCAAGAGGTGTGCACCGGGTTGGGAAGCCGAGGGGAAGAGATCACTGGTGAGACCTAGACCTAGATTGGAGGATAATATCAAGTGGTATGTGTGGGAGATGGAGTTGAAGGAGACTGGATTTTGTTGGCCCAGGACAGGAACTGGTGGAGGGCTTGGTTAATTCGGTGATAAACCTTTGGGTTCCATAAGCCATCTAGTTAGTTAACGTGTCCCTTTATGGAATCTGAAACTCTTACTGAAACCATTTTCTTCTTAGGTGAAAAGAAAGCAAGATGAGCCCAAAAATGTATTTGGATTGTTAATCTTTTAATGATGTACCAAGTGCTGTTTGTCTGAACATTGTGTGGGTGGACAACAGTTTTAGCTATCAAGTCTACAAACTTGTAAGATGGCATGATATTATAGCAGTTTATGTTTACTCAGGTAGGCCTCAATGTCATTGTTTACAACAGTGAGTTTTGTATTGTATTTTGATGCAACAAACCCTTCAGGTCTTATCTCTCACATATTACAGCTTCCATTCACAGGATGGTGTTATTGAACGGTGAGTTGTGTGTGACTTCAAACCAGCAGTCTACAACTCAGAATGGAAGGCCGTGACTTATGTTGAAGGTCTATTTGTTTTCTTCATATCTTGCTTGGAATGTCTAATTAGGACAATACAAATAATGCAGTCAGAATTCAAGCCCTTTGCACTTGAGTTTTAGAAGCCGAGACTGCACAACTATGAAGCAGAAGTTGCGTTATGTTGTGTTACACTTGAGTTATTAAACACATCATTACATTCTGGTAGCTTGTGTACATTCGATATTGAATGTAAATTCTCCGTATTTTCCTCAAGGTACAGCTAAGGTGATGCAATATGGATTGTATACAGATTTGAAGTGAATAAAACTCTTGCATGGTAATACATATATAAATATGGTATCAAGATTCATCAAAATATGTTGGAGGACTGAAAATCATAGCTGAAACATCATTTAGTTCTAAGTTAGGTGATAGTTAAAATGAGCCAAACTAAACCAAAATAAAAAAAATATTTCAAAATTCAGTTTGTGTTTATCATACTGAGATTTATCCAAAGAAACAGTAACACAATTTTTATTTTAGGTTACTACTGTTTGTATGTGATCTGTTTTGGTAAGTAATGTATTCAGCCTTCTCTGATGTGAACTATTTTGTATTTTAATTGTTTTCAGGTTGATAACAGAGGCCTGACAAAAATATGGCAGCAAACCAGAAGGAAATAAAAATGGGTAAGAATGCTATTTTAAGAAGTTTGTTTTAAGTACATCAGTCTCTTACCAATTGCAGGTAACATGTATCCATGGTTTAAACTTGTATAAAGTGTTCTTGGCTATAGTAATTACTTTCATGTATGAATATGTGTTGTGTGAGGTAGAGAGAGTATACATTGGTGGGTGTGGTCAGTTATGTACAAATTGAAAAAAAGCATTTTCTTTGGCAACACTTTAACTGGGAACAAAGTTGTAATGGCATTGAAACCAGTTTTTTATTTTCATCTTCTGCATTATTTTTATGTTTAATGGAGCAATAGATGATTTGTTTTGGCCTTGATGAGTGATGACAGTGTTCACACAGACTTTTCCATGATGGCTTGATCTTGTAAACCTTTGAGGGAGTGCTATATATATATATGAAATATGAGGCTTTCATGGTTTTGAATGTTTAGTTTGTGGTCTGAGCTGTGATGCCAAGTTGCTATGTAGTGTTTCAGAGGAACCTACTGCCTCCATCCTGAAGAAGAATATAATAGGTTCCTCAGAAACTTTAGCAACCACCTACAAGACTGTGTTATAGTAGCCCAGAAGCCCACAGTCTGAATTTATTTTAATAATTCCCATAAACTTTACATATTCAGTTGCCAAGTAAATTAATTTATGTTTGTGGTTCATATCACCTATTATTACTTAATTTTAAATAAATAAGTAATAAATTTGTGTGTTTTATGCCATTAAACAGTTTTGTGGACATATGTGCTTTTTACTTGTTGAGGAAACAAGTTACAATCAATGTACAGGTGTAAAGGTGTGTTATATTATCTGACAATTAATATGTGAACTTTACACTTTTAGGGGGAGATGAAGGTCAGCAGGATAATCAACAGGACAGTTATGAACAGAAGTTTCAGGAGATGCAAAAATACATTCCATTTTTGGAGATGATGATTCAAAGATTAGAACGCTCCAGTGACAAGTCACGGGAGGCACAGCTTCTCAAGATGAAAAGCTTACATTCTATTCTTTTAAACACAAAAAGGAAGTATGTCAGTATTTATGAAACGTGAATATTGTCCCTAAAGTACGCCATTTGTGAAAAATGTACTTTTTTTGGGTGGTCATATTGTATTGCAGTATGTCTTTTTGTAGGTTGAAGATAGAAACACTGAAACGATGTGAAGAAGTTTTACAGAAATTGCACGATAAAGTTGAGAAAGTAAGTTTTGTGCAAAGAAGATTGTTATTTCTTTTGCATTTAGTTGTTCATAAAATAATTTCTTTTAAAGTAGTACTACACAACAAAATAATTATGCAATAGTTTTCTCTCTGTAATACATTGGTAATACATCTGCAGGGTTCATATGCACAAGCTAAGCATACAAACATTAAACATGCAGAAGAAAGAATTATCAACAGGAATTCTCAGGAGAGTACAAAACCAAGCAGCTCTGATAATGCTGATTTTGAAGATGGAAGGTATGTGGGGAGTGGTATTTTACTTATTTAAGTTTATTATATGTTACCACTTTGTAATAATTACTTCCTTTTCTTTCAGTGATCAACACCTTGTTACATCATCAACAGATGCTAGTTCTGTAACAGATATAATGAAATCACTGAAATTGGCAGCTGCTCGTGCAAGTGGGAAAGCCGTGTCATCCACTACCTCTTGTCCTGTATATAGCAGTGACCTTGAGGATAGTAGAGATGCACATTCAACCACAAGTAATTGTACGGATAATATGTCTTCTTCAGAGAAAAAGAGCAAGACATTGGATGTTCTTGAACAGAGTCGAGAAAGACTAAAGAAATTAATGGAACAACAAACACCATCATCATCTACAGAAGCTACTAAGAAGTCAGATGGTTGTTTGGGATCCCCATCGATGGAATGGCAGTATCAGGCAGATCCACCGTGGGAGAATCAGGCATATGAGGGGACTCCAAAATATTCATACCCAAGTGAACCTGAAGAGAGTAGCAGCAATACAAAGCCTGTAAAGGACATCTCATCAAGTGAAGGACCACAGGATGATGATGAGTTATGTACTGGATGGAGCGATTATAAATCACCCACCAAATATGTATGGTCTCCTGATAGTAACCGACACTTGAACACAATTCCAAATAAACCACCACTGAGTCCAACAGGTTTTCATAGTGTACCTCCCAGTCTCCATTCACCAAGAAGTCCACTTATGCAACAATCATTTGCTACAAACAGTAGTAGCCCAATGTGCAAGTCTCCTATTAAAAGATCTGTTCAGAAAAGTCCAACTTTATGCAATGTTCTTAAACATCCGCCAGCTTTAGGAACTAAGCCTTTATCTGATGCTGACATTGAGGAGCTTCTGGAAGACACGAGCAGGAGTGAATTGGAACTAGAAAAGAAGGAGGAGTCTGCACATATGAGCCTAAGGGCCAAATTGGAGCAGGAGATACAGCAAGTTCATAGAGTTGGTGTTAGCAAAGGAGGTGCTTTGAGAAGTTTGGTTCAAAAAGATGATAAACTCAAATCACCAGTTAGAAATATACTGGATATGATGAAACCAAACTCTGAGCTAAAAAAAGACAAATCTCTCACAAATCGTCTACAGCTTTCTAGCAAATTAGATTCTGCAGTAGGAAGTTTCATAAAATCAAATGAAAAAGAGAAGGGAAATGACATGGGTCAGAACAGACAAAGTGCTGGAAGTAATATTGCAGAAAAGGATGACAAAAGTTTTGGGATTGTTAAAGATACATCATCAAAGCCCACTATTAAAGATAAGAAACCAACAGATCCTAGAAGACGTGCAAGCGTCAGTCCCCGACGAGAGGACAGTTTCCAGAATACTCTGTGGGAAGATTTACATTCTCCTGCAGAAGGAGAAAATAGTGATTCGTGTATAAGCCTTAGCGCTGATCTCAAATCAAATTATGATGATCCTAGATCCATTAATAGAGACTTGTCTGTTCTTGATAAGTTTCAAGGAACTACAAAGAAGGAAAGTGGTGGTATATTGTCAAGTTTGAGTAAAGAGGAATTACAAAAGATTGTGGAAGACAATCTTCGTAACCTCCCTTCTCCTCCTCCAAACACAAAAGAAATACTTGAAAATGTTGGTGTGAATAGTTCTGCTGTCATTAAACCTGCAAGGCAGCAACCTACAGATTTGCAGTCTCCAGTTTCCTCACCAAAGGATTGTAATCAGTCTGGTTTAATGTCTCCTCTTCATAGTTCACAGTATGGTTCACAGGCAGAGTCACACCTTGCAATAGGAAGAAATTCTATGTCTTCTAGCTCTTCTGGTGTTCCAAGACCTGAAGACCGTAGACCACTTTTACCAACTCCCAATCTACCGCATGATCCAAGGATTCTTTCTCGTAACTTAAACCAAGGTCGTAGATGTTCCAGAGACAACCAAGGCCCTCTTTCCAATATTCATGATCCAAGACTGAACACTTCTAGTTATCCACATCTTGATAATTACAGGAGTGGTATTTTGCCACAATCTCCACTTGATCAGTACATGAGACCAGTTTCTAATGCTTACCATCAGGGCTCACGTACACTGTTTCACACAAGTCAGACACCACATTTACAGTCACATGCAAGATGGACAGGGTCTCAATGTTATGGAGTTTTATCACACAGTTCCCCAAGGCCACCTGATGAAAGTTTTGTGCATCATGGAGACAGTTTTCTCCAGCGTGGGCCTAATAATATGAGATTCCAGTGTCCACCTCTTTCCTCCCAACATGAATTCAGTCCATTTCAAGGGCAGATTCGTCCATTACGTGACACGTTTTCTGTCAGTCAGCAGCAGCAGCAGCAACATCCACCTTGGCAATCACCACCTTCCTCACAAGGTTGTTACAGAGGTGGGTCTTCAGCAAATTATCCTTCATTTGTGAGATCTGTTGGACAGCCAGTTCAGCATCATGGGAACAGTTCACATAATGTTGGTAAAATTCCAGTTGGTGTCCCTAGGATGTCTAATTCTCATTTCACTGGACACAGGTCACCAGTGCCACCTCAGAGTATGTCAGCTGCTAGTGTTCATGGTTCTGGAGGACCTGGAACACTTGGTCGTGCTCAGAGTGTGGACGGCAGAATCGGAAATACACTTTCTGAAAGAGATCCTAGAAGAAGAAGCATAGAAGAACCTGAAAAGAGGGATTGTAATTTAAAGAGTAATAGAGACATGAAGATTTCTTCCAGTTCAAGAAGTCCAAATTATGGATCAGGTCCTGAACGAATAACCGACAGGCACAGTTCAAATGAAAGGAGAAGAGATTCTGAATCTAAAAGGTTTGAATCCAGTAGTAGCAATAGAAGAAGAAACTCACCTGAGCCTAATAAACCAAAGGAAACAGAACTGGTTTCTCCATTAAATAGTCTGTATGATGTTACAACTGTTCCAAAGACAGGGAAAGGTTATGGTTTCCAAAAGTTCAGAATACCAAAAATAAAACGCCCCCCTTCACCTCCAAAATCGAAATCACCCCCACCTCCAAAGGCAAAATCGCCTCCACCAAAACTGGAATCATCTTCATGCACTGTAAGTGACACCAAAGAAAAAGTTGAAGTGGTTAAGCCCACTGATGAGACACCAGTGACTCAAAATGAAAATCAACAGGCAAACATGAAAGATGATGATGTGTGTAGTATTGATAGAACTGATGATGACAGAGTTGTAATGTCTGTAATTTCCAAGAACAATGAAAGTACTTCATCAGAAAAGACTTCTGATACAGAAACTCCAAAAACAAGTTCAGGGTCTAGATCAAAGGATGGAGTCACGCAAGAATGGATTGAGGCATTAATAAGAAAGTCTATTGAAACTGGTGAGGGTAAGAAATTTGTTGAACAAGCTAAGGTGTTGGAGAAACTAGGAGAAAGTTTAAAGGGGAAGAAATTGAGAAAGATAAAACAAATACTGGAATCAGACTCAGATTCAGGGTCCAATGACAACACTTCAGAATTTTCTAAGAAGAATGAGAATACATGCTTAAATGAGGAAGACCAGAAGATGGAAGAGAAAGGAAAGCTGTTGAATAAAGAAGAAATATCAGTAGAACTGAAGAAGTCTAAATATCGAAGGTTAATTTTATCTGATGATGATCAGAGTTCAGACAATGAAACACTTGATTCCAAATTGAAGAAGATTTTAGAGGTTGACAGACAGTTGAGTACTTCAGAGGATAACCACAAGGTGGAGGAGGTTGAAAGCAGTAAAGTAGATGAACAGAAAAAGCAAACTGCCTCAAGTGATGAAGCAAAGCCTGCAAGGAAGTATTCAAAGAGACGTTCTGCTCTTGAGCTTTTGCAAGAAGACATCCGAGATATGTTTATTTGTGAGGGAGTTGTAACAGCAACAGGTCATCGAATGTGCCGCTTGCTTAAGGAAACTCCTCCTGGAATGACAGTTGATGAAATATCCAAATCCACTATCAAAAGAACAGAAGATGAAGTGTCTACCACAGCAGAAGAATCAGATGGGTCATCTGTTATTGGTAAGAGACGACCAAGGAAATTGCCAAGAGAAAAGGGTTTAGAGAAGAAAGGTAAGGAAGAAAAAGTGGACAAAAAACAAAGAGCTAAAATGACCATGAAGGATGAAGAGGAAGAATGTAGTTTTGAGAAAGGATGTGGTGATATTTCAAATGAAATGGATGAAAAAATGACAAACAGCAGGGTAAAGAAGAAAGATGATGGCCTTATTTATGAAACTGGAGATAGTTCTGGTTTTCCTTGCACAAAATCTAATAAGAAATGTGGAAAGTCCAAGTGGAAAGGTTATGTTATAGAAGAAAGTGAAGACTCGGGTGAAGAAACTGCTGTTGATAAAGTAAGGAATAGCAAGAAAAGCACAGGAGAGAGAGAGGAATCAGAGTCCTGTGATAAATCAGTAGAGCAATCATGTTCACATCCCGGCATAAGAACAAGGTCAAAATTAAGTCATGCTGATGAAAGTGAAACCTCAAATTCAGAACGTGGAAGGCGAACACGTTCTCCAAGAGTAATACTTGAAAAGACTGATATCACAAAACTGAATCTTATGTCTTCATCACCACGAACAAAGTATTTTGAGGATAGTTCATCTGATGAATCAGTAATGGAAGACAGTACTTCATCTCCTGTGAGCAGTGGTAAGTCCAAATTTAAAGCAGCACAAAAACCAAGATGTAATGTTAAATATACGTGTTTTAAAAGGAAGCGTGGTAGGCCTAAAAAAGGAGAAAAGAAGCAAGCAAAGATAGAAAGAATTGATGAAGTCTCTACTGATGTTGAGAGTATAGTATCAGATCAGTCATCTGTAGCAAGTACTTTGTCTCATCGAACAAACTGGTGTAATATGTTTACTCCTATTGGCTTCACATTTCGAAGGAAATGTAATAGAAAAAGGTCGAAACTTCTGGGAAAGAAAATTGATGACATCATTAACAGGCTAACTAAAGTTGCTGATGGTTTCAAAACAGGTGATGCTACAGTGAACACCCCAAGCACGGAAGAGAAGCTGTGTGAGCTGGGTACAGTAGACTCTTCTGTGGGAAAAGCAGTTGCAGAAATTGCAAATGTTGTAGTTAATTTAAAAGAGAGTATTATTCAAAGTGAAGATCGTTCAAAGCCTGCTACCAGCAGTTTTAATGTACCTGTTGTTGAGCCTAAAATTGCAACTGAAATTACTATAGTTCCCAGCGTTACTAAGAGAAGGAACTCACGAATTATGTTGAACCTGGTAAGAAAATCTGGTATACAGAGAAAAGTTAAGAAAAAGAAAGCAAAGTGGCAATTAGGTATTATTAATAATCATGCTAAGAAGAAAGGTGGCCCTAGGTTTGTATCAGAGGTTGGAATGAAATATGTCGCTTGCAATGTTACATGTGAGAAAGAAGTGGATGGCCCTAGTGAAGTAGTTCATAGTAGTAAACTTCTTATTGATGAATGTAGTGGTACTGAAAATGGTGAAAGTGAAGTGTCCATAAATGAAGGTAAGGAAGAAAGAGATATGCTGTTAAGCAGCAGACAAAACATAACAGTAAACAGTGATGATAAATTATGTCATAACATTGAAATGAAACAGATCAGTGAGACAGAGGATAACAAGATGCATCATAAGAAGGATATTTTAGAAACGAGCAACATTTGTACAAACAAGTTAGATGAGATGGTGACTTGTTCAGATTCAGAAAAATATTTGGCCAAAAGGGATAAATTGTCTACAATTCCTGATCGAAGCTATGCTTTGGATGGGAGTGCTAGGTATGCCTGTAAACTGTGTCCAGCACAGTGTAAAGGTATTGTGACTCATTATAGAAACAGTCATCCAGATTCTGAAGTTCTCATTTCACGTCTTCCTGAAGAAAAGGCTACTCGAGCAATTTCTGAAGCACTAGAAAGTAAGTACATAGAAGAAGAAGAAGAAGAAGAGGATGGTAATGTTAAAACTGGAAAGAAGAAGAAGAAGAAACAAGCAGGTGAATTTGTTTGTCGAATATGTGATCATGTTGCCACATTTCCACTCAATTTCTATGACCATCTTAGCTCACACACTGGGGAATATCGATTTCAGTGTGGTAAATGTTCTTTTGAAGCATGTACAAAACACTCTGTTAAAGGACATTCTTATTATCATCACCCAGAACTGAAAGGTGTCAAGAAAATTAGTGCTACTGTTCTTACTCCAGGACCACCTAACAATGCTAAATTTGTGTTTGGCTATCTTTGTTCATCATGTAATTATGTTCAGTTATTAAAGCAGAACATTGAAAAACACATTTCTTTGAGGCATCCTTCAGAAGACAATGCCAGGTTAATATGCATTAACATGTCCAAGATGAAGAGTCAAAATGATACTGCAGAAGGTACAGAATCAAAAGATGTGTGTACAGATGTAGATACAAATGAATCCAATGGTTCTGTCACTTACAAATTACCTTTGGTTGCTAAAAAGGATGATGGTGATGTGTGTAATGTTGCATTACCAGTAACAAACAATGAAATGATTCCAGAAGAAGACATTAAAAGGCCAGGCTCCATCGTGACAGGGCAGAAGCCAGAAGCAGAACATATTGATATGACTTCTAAGCCCTGTGAGGCATTAGATGAAGGCAGCATGAAGAAAGAACAGGAATCAGAAATTGAACCATTACAAGGTGTTTGTCAAACACATACTGAGAACACTGTTGTTTCTTCTTGCATACAGATACCCGAAAGACCTGAAGTAATTGCAGTAGATGAAGATCCAGGTACAATTTCTCAAGAACTATCTGCAGTGAATTCTGTTGGTATGACTGCAGGGGCTGGTGGAGTTAAATCATCGGATGAGGTAACAAAGGAAGACTTAATGGATACAGAAAATATACATTTGAAACAGAATGTTGATGATACTGGAAAGAATGATACTGAAAATACAGTCACTGCATCGTCATTATCAGTAGTTGAAGAAGCAGTAAAGGAAGTTGACCTTAAGGCATTTGTATGCTGTGATGATTTGGAAGAAGAGAATTCTGTTATTCAAAAGGAAAGGTTAAAGAAAATGCAGGAAATAGCTAAAAATCTGAAGGACAGTCATCCAAAATTTCTTCAGTCAAACCGTAGTTCAATATTAGATCAGTTATCTGATAAACTAAAAACATGTTTAAAAAGCAAATCAATTGAAGCCACAATGGAAGAAATAAATGATAAGGCTGTGGATTCTGTGACACACAATAAAGTTTTAGAAAGTAAGGAAAGTAAATCTGAAGGAGAGAAATCAGCAGATGTGTCAACGTTGATAGACGAGAAACGAGCTATTGAAGCTGCACAGGCTGTTCAAAACTTGTTGAGAGCCGAAAAAGAGACGATTGATGATAAGCAATCTAATGTCATTGGTCAGAAAGTTACTGAATCACAAAGTGGAAGTAAAAGTGGAAGGAATAATAAGCCATGCACTGGTGATTCAACAGAGCGGAGGATAACTCGGTCTTTTAGTAGGAATGAAGATGATGTTGAAACTGTTGATGAATCTTCTTCTGACATCAGCTTCGGATTTGAGGGTGAAGATAATGAGGATGTAGTGGAATCAGAATCTCAGATCCCTGATAATCTTTTGAATGATACCCTTTCTGCTTTGAAGGATGTTTGTCCAAGGAAATCAACAAGTAGAATGTTTGACATTATTGAGCGTCTTGCGTCGAAAGTTGTTCCAAATACAGAGCCTGGAGACCTGAGCGAACATGTGGCTGAGATAGATAATCAAGAACTTAGCAGTAGCGTGATTGCCGGTGAGCATGTTCGTTCAAATAAGGTCGGTAAAATGAAGACAAATGAGGCGGATTGTTTGAAAATTATTGCCAACAAGAAATTAAGTGCAATTGGGAAACCTCCTCCATTAATTTCACTTGGGGCTAAGGGAAGGAATATGCTTCAAGTTACTAGTGGCATAGGGAGTGAAGGATCAGACTCATCAGTACGTGTTGGTCCTTTGGAAGTGAAACGCTTCAGTGAAGGGTTACTGTATTCCTGTTGCATTCGTGGATGCATCTTTGCGTCAACAAATCGCACACATTTTGCAAACCACATTGAGAATACTCATAGAGTTTGCCGTTGGGATGGGTCATGCAAGGCGTGTAATATTGATCCCAGAGATCAGTATTTCAAATTGTCATATGCTTTGCACCATCTTATCAGATTCCATCTCGTTGCTGACCTCACAGCTTCTAGTGCAGTAAGTGGTAATGGACATTATATTTCTATATTGTCAACAGAAAAGACTTATGCTAGAGAAAGGGAAGTGTCAGAAGAAGAGACATGTAAGGGAAATAGAGAAATGTCAATAGAAAGGATTCCTCTTGAACAAGGGGCAGTGTTAACAAAGAATACTTTTGTTGGAGGAGCAGAAAAGTCTATTAGCAGTGAAGGAGTTACTGAGTGCTCTGCACCTAGGAAGTTTATCCGTTTGCGGAGGTTAAGTGGAGACCTTCTTTCCATCCCAAAACCAGCAGAAGATCCTGTCATAACAGATGTCCAGCAACAAGGCATCAATCAAGATGATACAGGTATAAGATCCTTTTTTTTATGGGGGAGGATAATACTCACATAAGAATTTATCTAGTGTGTTAGATGGCAACATTAAGTGTTTCTCTTGTAACATGGCATGGTACATCTTCAGATATAGGAATAGATAGATAATGATAAGAACAAATATTGCATTTGTCAGCTGAAAGGATTGTGTGTGATAACTCCAAGGTTGGGAATTGGGATTGGAATTATCACAGACAACCCTTTACTGTGAATAGTGCCAGTCTTAAATTTGATGGCTTATTCAAGTTGTCCTAAGGGATGGTCAAGCATTAGTATTGAAAGGAAAAAAAAGAATATACTTAATTACACACTCCTTTTACTCTGTCAATGAATTTATGTTGTTTACAAATAAGTGATAAATTTTTCTTGTGTATAATGGGTAGATCTATTTGTAGCTTATCATTTCTTTAGGTGAATACTTTGTTTTGTATTATGTGAAATTTATATAATAGTATGAATTGTACTTTATAATATGTATTGTATTATTATTATTTTTATTATTATGACTTTCCACATCCTATTGTCATCTGACTGTCTTACGGATCCATGGAATGTAAATAAATTATTATTATATATATATTATTATATATATATTATTATTATTATAAAGTTTATGCAAAGCGGGTGTTTTGAAGAATCTATCCATGGATTTTCTTAGTACACTCTGATAAATGGACAATTGGTTTGGTAAAATCTGCCTATCCTATAATCTCAAGGGAATTAAATGTTTTACTTCAGATTATTTCTGTTTTGTATGGAGCTTACATACGTCTGTATTAAACACTGCACAGTGCATACATCATGTATTTACGATCCAAATTACAATCCAGAAGTACATACTATGTTTGTTCACTACATCTAAAATTATTCTTTGTCAGGACTTTTTCCATCGTCCTTTAAAATCACGACGTTTCGGAGGCTGGTTATGTCTCCGTCTTCAGGTGAGAGGTACCGACTCTGTTGGGTCGCTTAGAGCTATCTAAGGGACCCAACAGCTTCCGAAACGTCGTGATTTTAAAGAACAGACGATGGAAAAAGTTCTGACAAAGAATTATTTTAGATGTAAACTACTGTTGTCAAAACCCTTTAGAATTGAATGTTCACTACACTTATAATGAATGGGACACAAAGTTACATTCCTTCCTTTTTACTGTTTCCATCATCTATTAAATATTCTGCACATATTTTGTTGATTGCCAAGCTTAATCCTATACCATTTGTGATAATGTTTATTCTTAGATACATTCCATGAATCACAGTTCAGAACAAAATTATAGTGCTGTACAGACAACTCTCGGTTTACAAGCGAGTTCCGTTCCAAGACTTTCGTTATACGTTTTTGTTCGTTATGTGTATCTTGCATTCCTGAGCTTTTATGATACATATCGTATACGTTAGCAACTAATTTAAAGCATTAAAACCATGTACTAAGCATTGAATGGTCTATTCAATACTATTATAATAGGGGGAATCATGGATTTCTTTCCCATGAGAAAACATTCTATGCGGTGTGGCATGTAAACCAACGTTTTTTTACTGGCTAGATTAGTTTTATTAACCAAGAACAGTTCAGTATAATTATTATATAATAATTTTCTGATAATTATTGTAATAAATAAATTTTTTAAAAATTTATTTATTTAAATCTTGCAATTATTTTCACTATACGTTTGGCATTTTGTTTTATAAGGAACGCTATCTATTGGCAACTTAAGAAATTTTGAATGAATTGTGACGTTTGTTATAGCGATTGTTCATAGATTGGGCGTTCGTAAACCGAGAGTTGCCTATCTTGTTTATCATTTCTGTCTGCACAGCATTTTCCATTTATTTTCAAATTACAGAGTAACAAGATCCAGCGAACTCCCAATTATCTGAGCTAATGACGCAAATAATCAAAAAACGTGGATTAATCGAAATATTTTGTTATTCACGGAACAGCTTCTCAAATTGATTTTCTCTTTACAACTGACATTTATTTTGAGAAGTAGTTTGTAATGATGACTTGTTTTTGTGAATTGTTTTGACTCCTCACAGCAGTACAAATTTCGCTGTTATCCTCCCCACCATCTTCTTCTCCCTTCTGTTTCATGGCAGCATTAACAATATCTGTCTGTCATGTGCTGAAAGCCCACTTAATATGCAACACACTGTAGCCATACTTTTATGTGATCTTCATCAATGTTGTAAAAGCATCTCATAGCACGTACTATATCAAGAATTTTGGACTTGCTGGTTTCTTCATTATGAAAACTTTGCAAATCATCATCTTCTCCATCTGGAGGAAATTTCCTCCATTATCTAACCAGCATTCCTGGAAATACAGACAACCCTGCCCAATATATGCCATATATAGCAACCAAAACAATTTTTTCCACAATGCTATTCTGCTTTTGGCTTCATTGGTAAGAGTTCTGAGAAGGTAGCCCGGTCGCATTTATGAACAGTCACTCAGTCTCTACCCTATAATCCCATAATCTTTGGATAATTTTGCCATTGGTTCTCTGTTCTCAATTATTGCAAGTAACTTGTGCTTTTGTATATTATGTTTTTCAGCCATCTTACAAGTGTTAACTGTCACTGTCACACAGTACAATGTAACAGAAATGACTTTTAGACACCACTGTGACAAACCTCCCCACCACACCAATGACGCTGACATAAATTACTGGAAATAGTATTCTTTGACCATATCTCGTTTAGCACCC